CATCAAATTATGGTAAACATTTTTTTTTTCAGGATAACTGCGAAGTTTGAGTACTCGTCAAGATCAATTCTGGAAGATAAAGTAGTTGTGCTTAAACTTTCTTTTGTTACTTTTTAAGAATTCTCCATTGTAAATTTGTCCTAAAAAGAGATGTATATATGTTTTGACTGTCACATCTCAGGAATAGCAGTATTGCAAATTCTTGGGGCGTGACAGTAGATATGGAAAAAAACATCTTTAAAGCATACTTCTTCTACCTATGGTAGCGCCCAGTGGTTTAAAAAACAGATCGGTAGCCCGGATCGGGCACCCCAAAAACCCATCCGGATCGGTGGATCGACGATCCGGATCGGGAATTGGCCGAATCAGTAGGATTAAGCTGTAAACAAAATATAAAAAAATTATTAAAATTTATTATTATGTTGTTTTTTTGGAATCAATTAGAAATCGGGGTACTATATTATTAATTTTCATTTTTTTCATCAATATGTGAATATTGAGATATTTTTTCTCTGTATGAACTTATTTTAATCATTAAATTATATCACACAAAATAAAAATCATCGAACTATCATGGATGAAGTATTTAATCATACATGGATTACCATAAAGAATGATTTTTTTATAAGAGCATTTTAGTTTTTTTGACAAAAACCTTTTATTTCTTTACAAGAAATGTTTGTCGTATTACATTATTTTTGGTTTTTAGCAAGAACCGTTTTTTAGACAAAAAATACCTGTTTTATTATTTTGTTGTTATAAGAACTTTATTTTTTTGACAATAACTCTTTATTACTTTTTATTTTTTTGGCAAAAACCTTTTATTTTTTTGAAAAAAAAAAGAAATTTGACAAGAAAAATAATTGATAAGAACCTTTCATTTTTTTTTATAAGAAAATTTTTATTTTATTGATAAGAAAAAAGTTTGACAAAAAGTAAAATTGATAAAAAAATCTTTCATTTTTTTGATAAGAAAAAAATTTGACAAAAAGCGAAATTGATAAAAAAAACCTTTCATTTATTTCTTATGACAAAAATACTGGTATTATTATTTTTTTATAAGAACTTTTTTTTTATTGACAAGAAATTTTTATTACTATTTTTTTTTTTTGACAAAAACTTTTATTTTTTTGACAAAAAAAAAGAAATTTGACAAGAAAAATAATTGATAAGTACCTTTCATTTTTTTTTATAAGAAACTTTTTATTTATTGATAAAAATGCGAAATTGATAATAAAAAAATTTGACAAAAAGCAAAATTGATAAAAAAACCTTTCGTTTTTTTTATAAGAAAAAAATTTGACCTCAAAAAAATAAAATTGACAAGAAAAATAGTTGATAAAAGAACCCCCTTTCGTTCCAAGGAGAATGGAACCCGCACCCTCCACATGCAGAAAGAAAGTTATAACCAATAAGCCACTTGCTACTTAGTAGTATTAAAAGCGCAAACAAAATATATAATATATTAATGTTTCAAGTTAATACCTTCACATTATCCCAAATCGAAGAGGTAGAAGGAAGTTGTAGTGAATAAATACCTCTTTGTATTTAACGAGGATAACGCGTGCAAAGTGAGGAGAGTCACGTGACGAGGTGTACGGACCTTAAAGTACATGTACTTTTAAAATTTACAAAATGCCCATTGAAGAAAATTTACAAAAATGCCCATTGAAGAATCGGCGGGCCATGACGTCATGAATCGGGAGAATCATGATGTCACATGGTTATTTACGGCATGGAATCGCCGGTTCTTCTCTAGAACAGGGCGATTTCAGGTATTTCACTGGAACCGGATCGGGTCTACCGGTTCCCGAGTCGAATCGGACGAGTCCGATTCAACTCGTCAACTTTTGAATCACTGGTAGCGCCACATCCACATGAATCCCCCCCCTATGTGTTCCTCCCATTCTCTCTATGACTTCAAGCCCACATGTGACTATAAAGGCCCTAATTTGTGCAAAGCTCAATGGACGATCACCTATTCATGTGAGACTCAAACCTGGGAATGAGCAAAGAACGAGTAAGAGAAAGTGCTCTGAATGTGGAGTCATAGGTCATGACAAGCGTAATTGTCCCGCTATGCCTTGCAAATGGTATGATTATACATCTTTCTTACTTGTGAGCTTACTTTGCTACTTAGATGTCATTACTGAATATTATTTAGTATTGGAACCTAGTATATAGAAAATTGTTACATGAAAATTTCTTGTTCAAATGCTCCACTATTACTAAGTTGTTATTTCATGTATATTTTGGTACATGAGGCCTATGAGGCCTAGTATTGAGGGCACAAGTAACTCTCTAAGGGAGCATAAGTAATCCCCAAGGGAGCATAATTGATAATACGAGACTTTTTTTGCACGTTTTTGAGCTTATGGTTCCTTGTATTCTTTTTCTATCTATTGTTCAATTAGTTTTTTGGATGTATAACATTTTTTTAATTACCTCACCTTTTTGGTTGGGCGCTTTTGTATAGAGCACCCAGGCTGTGGGCTGCCTATTTTTTATGTACTCTGCATACTTTCTGTTTATACATATGGATGCTAATTAGATTTCTTGGGGGTATATAACTACATAGCTTCTTTGTGTAAATTTAAAGACGATTTGAATGTGGTAAAGAATGTGCTACCGTTTTGATTCATGCAAGTACTGGTTGTAGGATTTTTATGTTCATTGAATTTGAGATGAGCTCATTATTGTGATGTTAAGATGTTCATCCATTTGTTTCAACAGGTGTTTCCTGTGTGATTTGGACTATGTTTGGATGAATTGCAGGTCATACATAATATGCTTGGCTATTGCAACCTTAGGTCTTTTTGGATTTTGACCAAATGCCACTACTTTAGTTCATAATGTGTATATGTTAATCTCAATGTTTGCATACTTTTACATGAGCATATATAGGATGTTAGTAACATGTGTTGCAAGTCATGTGAGCTATATGCAACCTTACCGTGGCAGTCTCTATTATCTCATGTCTAGTTGCTTGTTGTGTAACTGTTCCAAAATTTCTGCTCTTTTTTATCATACCTTGTACAAACTCACATATTGAAATAAATCAAGTATGTAAATTGCATAAAGCTGCGTGGGAGTTATAATCTCTTTCAAATTCAGCATAGTTTTGGTCATTGGCAGACTGTTGATGTTTTCTACTTGGCTTCTATGTCCTTGGTCAATGCAGCCCCTAGTTTGAGAAGACTTCATCGCAATATTTGCTACCGACTTGTGCTAGGTTCGTCCATTATGCAACAAATTGCCATGCAATTCGCTCTTCATAGTTTTGTGGCATCAGTGAGCAAACTATCAACAATGTTTATATACTGTTGGCATCATGTACACACTTTTAACAGTGTGCATATGTTGATTTCAATGCTTGTATGTTGTTCATAATGTGTATATCATATGAGCTATATGGAATGTGTCTTATTTTGATTAGTAGCTTGACTTGTAGGCTATATTTAGAGTTTGTGCTGTTAACTAGAATGTATGTTGATTAATACAAGTCTTGGATGAGTTGCAGGTTATACATACTATGCTTGGTTATTACATCATTTGGTCTTGTTGGATAATGGCGTCACAGTGAGGTCTAGGGTGTTCAAGAGCTATCGCTTTCATTTGGAGAAGGAGATTGTGCTTAAATGTCGAGCGGCATAGATTGATCTGTGGAAAGTACAACTAAGACAACGTGACTTTGGAGCGGCATGGATTGGGCTTAAATATTGTGGCATCGCAATTGTTTGATATTCTTTGCGTCAAAAATTTTGGCTTCTAATTTGAGGGTCTCCACTTTATTGATATGGGAATGTAATACCCTTTTCATGATGACAAGTGCTTGTTAAAGACTGTGCTATCAGTTAATAGTTATGTAAATTTAAATACGATTTCAGTTTGTTAAAGAATGTGCTATCATTTTGATTGATGCACGTATTAGTTCCGTGATTTTTATATTCATTGACTTTGAGGTGTGCTCATTGTTGTGATGCTGAGATGCTTGAACAATTGCTTGTCAATTGTATGTAATTGCTCATTTTCCTTGGTTATGCATATGTTTTAGCAGGGGTTTAATGTTTGATTTGAGTAAATGTCTTGAAATAATAGTATAAATATTGCAAGGCAAGTTATGCCAGCAAAATCTTAACCATCTTGTTGGTCTTCAATTGATTGGATGATTGGGATTTGTTTTGTTCAAATTTACGATGGTAATTAGCAAGTAGAGAGAGAGAAGAGAATCTTTGCTCTAGAAGTTCCTAACCCTCAAGAGAGGGAAAGAGAGACAGCCTTACCTCTATAAGTTCTAAATCTGTGTGTGTGTGGGTGTGTGTGGGAGAGAGAGAGATGGTGGGGGTTTACAACCAAAATTTCTATGCTGTAAATGTCTTTTAAACATTTTCTAACTTGCACGAGAGAGATGGTGGAGGTTTTCTACCAAAGGTCTCTATGATCTAAATGTCTTTTAAACATTTTCACGAACATTTTGTTCTTTGTATAGACCTTCTAAAACCCATAATTCATCTTTAATTTCCACTATTGAATCTTGGTAGCAAAGCTTCTTTGTTTCAATCTAATGAAAGAAAGAGAGGTATTTATTCTCTTGTCTTCCTTATGATACTTTGTATTAGTGCTGAAGAATAAGCTTATGGTGTTTCCATTTCCCGTATACTCAGACAAAGGGAAGAATAATATTTGAATTGCAAAAATTTGGTGCTCCTTTGGAAGCTTGTTAATAGAACAAATGAAGTGCATCCTTGAAGAAATTAAACCAAAATGGTTGTATCATATATTTGACTCCGATACCAAGAACATGAAGGGAGAGAGAGAGAGAGAGCCATCCAATATCAATCCACATATCGCCCACGGAATAGGCAACATCGATAAAAAACCATTTGAATTAGCAATAACAAGGAGAAAAATTCACTTAGAACTCAATCAACTTGCCTAAATATAGAAAACAAGAAACAAATATTTCATTTTTTTCATACAAAATTCCAATCAGGCTCTATTAAGTCATTGTTAAATTTTTGGTATTAAGGGCTTTGGCAATTGCATAATGCACTCCAAAAAGGTCTCTTTGGTCACCTGAGCAAGGAATAGGAGGTCTTAGCCAAAAATAATGTGCTTAGGCTGGATGAATCAAAATTGGAACCTGAAGAAGAGTAGCAATTATGAGTGTGGCACTTTCAAAGAAAATACATGAGAAGTGCACTCCTCCACCCACTTCTTCTCGTGATTGAGAATTCCGATAAGGCGTTCGAGATAACAATCCAAAAGGGTGGCAAGTTTCAATGATCCTTCTTTTTGCAGCTTCTTAACCATCTGATGGAAATGTGATAAGGGAGGTAAGTACACATCATAGTAGAATATCAAAGACATGCATATATAAAGAAAGGTCCGTACACATACATAGAAAATGATATCGACCATATGTACTAGGTAGGATCGAGCATCTGTTAAGGCATACAACCTCATGCACCATAGATATTGTGTTCAAGTTCTATATAACCAATTTGGACAAATTTTCAAGATTATATAATTCTGGAAGTGACATCTTATGCTATTGTCCAAGGGAGAATTCTGTCAAGAAATGGAAAACGTTTTGATATGTCATTGAAGTCAAAATTGATGGGATTGAAGGCAACAGAAGCTGCTCAAGTTTTTGTCCAAAAAACAGAACTAGATGGATTTCTCTCTCCGAAGGAGTTTCTTAAAGAGTGAGAGGAAATGCTTCAAAAAAAATTTTTGAACAGTGAGTTGATGCCAGGTGATAAGTGTTTAGTTGAATCTCAGTTAATAATTTCAAAAAAAAAAAAACAATAAAGAGTTTAGTTGAATCTAAGGTCATACCATATCTGCACCACCTATTCCTTAAGTTATTTTAGCTTAAGCTATCATAAATTCGTTTGAGTTCGTATATTTACTGAAAAAAGCATATGATAGCAATTATGAAGTTTCCTATGGGACATCTATTTCTATTTACAGAAAAAGGTATACGAAGCCTCCAAATATATTTGTCAAGGTCATAACTATACTCATGGTATATTGCTAATTAAAAAGTCATCCATTTAGATAATAACTCTCCAATTTAGATACTAACTCTAATATGGGTGCTCATACAGCCAAAAAGTCACTAGTACTGACATAAACAAGGACAATTTATGACTCAGAAATTTAAATATAGAGGTATCATTTATACACTTGTATGTTAGTAGCAAAATCAGTACCATGAAGGTCCATGTTAGAATGGTTATACATTTGAGTTATGCATCTCCACACCCAAATACTTCCGACCACTTTTAATGGTCATGTGCTCTTATTGGATTGCATACATGAGAAATATTAAGTAATTTCTAACAGACTTTGCTTTTAGAACCGTTCTTTTGCATTTAAACAAAGTAAGGAAAATAAGAACATTCGATTCTATCCATGTGGCCCTTGTTATATAAAATCATTCAGCCAAAGACTTGCCACAAGTTATTTTGTGTTGCTCATTGGCGAAGATTGTAACAAGCTCCCCCTATCAACATCAATAAAACTTGTCACGGAAATAGAAGAAAATATATCTTCTATTATAATAGATATTTAATCAAACACTTTGGATTTCCATACTATGAATTACCATCAAATTACTTTAAATAATGAAAATACCTTTCTTTTCTTGTCATCCATTGGAGCACATTGAATAGCAAGATGTGCGTCAACATCATCAGCTGTGACCAGATATATAGGTTGATCTGCCTCGGATAAATCAATAAGTAGAAGTACAAGAGATCAAAAAGCAAGATGGAGAATCAAGATTAATTGCATCAGTGGATACATGATGCGCCAGCTCAAAATAAAAGATCACGAGTCAGCTTAAAATGCAGTACCAGTAATGTATTCCATTGTACCATCTTGGAAATGGCGTACCCACTGCAAATGAAAAATAAATGCAACACTTTTAAATGATTTTCTATGATAGTAGTTCTTGATAACAAGGAAAAACCACAAAGAATACACGAATGCAAGTACTACACATACTTGGAAAATACAAACTGTTGTGACATTAATGGAGAATCCACATGCTTGAATCTCCTGTCCTGGGAATGCATCACCAGCAATTTGAAGTCCACTTATCCTGGTAAAGTATCATCGTCTGTTGCTGTATGCCACAGCATCTTCAATGAGCAATCAAGTGATGAACTGCTTCATTAAAGTGCTTCAAATTCAGCACAATAGAAAGAGAGGGAGGACTATGCAATCCACCATCTTGTCCCCAAAAATTGAAGAAACTTGAGAAAGAGAAAGAGCACCCAATGATATGAAGAAACATGGAAATTTTGTAAGTGAGAGTGACGCAAATAAAATTAAGGTTATTTTAATTTTTTTATTTTTTTATTCTTTTGTTTATTTTTTTTAATAATAAAGAAAGAATATATATAAGATAAGGTTAAATATAAGGGTTATCTTTTCAACAATAACCAAGTTGGGGAGGTTTTGGGTAAAACGTACACTATCTATTTAGAAGCAAATCTTTGACATATGAAGTTAAGGGAGAAAAAAATAGAGACGAGAGAAAATAAGTTAATAGAGAGAATAGGGAGAAGAGATAAAGTAGGAAAAGACTATGTAGAGAGAGGTTTTTTTTGTTTAGTCATTGTTTATCCTCTTTTAGTGGGAGATCTCCCTTCAATGTAAATTGGTGAATGCTTTTAGTAAAATTTAGTCTCTTGATGAGATTATTTTTGGGGTGGATTCCTTTGTAAACTTTGAGAGAGAATATATTCTCTCAACTTTTTTTTTTTTTTCTATTGTTATTATTTCCGTGTTATTTTCTCTCTGCATCAATAATCAAGCTAATCCTGCTCCTGCTAATCTTGCTTTTGCTAGGGATGATCATATGATCGTTAGGGACATGCTATAGAAAATTTGACTAAAACCCTAGAGGATTTTCGAACTGTGAGAAGAATTAGGGCATGCAACAGTTGAATCAAAGGTTGCAACAGTTGGAGAACAATATTCATCATGAAGAATGTGCTCATAGCCACATTCTTCTTGCACCAATAATTCCTCGATAAACCCAAGGTAATTCCACGACAAACCCAAGGTATTATTTTCAAGCGTAACGAAGAAATTTACAGGCAAATCCATGTCTTATAGAGCAACCACTAGATTTTGATATTAAAATCGATCTCCCAAAATTTCACAGTCAATGGTGTTAAATCCATGTCCTATAGAGCAACCACTAGATTTTGATATTAAAATCGATCTCCCAAAATTTCACGGTCAATGGTGTTCATTAATTGTAAATGGTGCTTCTTTGAAGCTAGACTCATTCTTAGTTAGAAATAATCAGCCCAAACTAGTATTCAACAATTACTCTTGGAACACAGTTATAGAAAAAAAGTCTTACATCAGTCTTGAAGAAATTGAAGAAAAAGTTTTAAGACTCATGGTGGAACTTCATCACCAACTTTTGAGAAGGCCTCTAAAATATTTGAGTTCGATTAGCTCGAGGTTGAACTTCTCCCAACCCGGGGAGAATGAAGCAAATAAAATTAGGGTTATTTTAATTTTTTTTATTATTATCCTTTTGTTTATTTTCTTAAGAATAAGGAGGGAGCTAGGATAATTAGGTGGGCATGAGTTTATCTTGTGCTTGAATTGATATTGATTAATTGAGTTGGTTAGTTTCTAAAAAAGATGAATATAAATAGAATAAGGTTAAATCTATGGGGTTTATCTTTTCAACAATAACCAAGTTGGGGAGGCTTTGGGTAAAACATGGGCCATCTATTTAGAAGCAAATATTTAGTACGTGAAGTTAAGAAAGAAATCATTGCCACGTGAAGTTAAGAGAGAGAAAATAAGGATGAGAGAAAATAGGTTAATAGAGAAAATAAGGAGAGAGAGAAATCACATAAAGTTAAGAGAGAGAAAATAGGGATGAGAGAAAATAGCTTAAGAGAGAAAATAAGGAGAGAGAGAAATCTTTGACAAGTTAAGAGAGAGAAAATAGGGATGAGATAAAATAGGTTAAAAGAGAAAATAAGGAGAAGAGATAAAGTAGAAAAAGTATGTGTAGAGAGAGGTTTTTTTTGTTTAGCTATTGTTTCTCCTCTTTTTAGTGGGAGATCTCCTTTCATTGTAAATCGGAAAATGAGTTTAGTAAAATTTAGTCTCGATTGTAAATCGGGGAATGAGTTTAGTAAAATTTAGTCTCGTGAAAAGATTATTTTTAGGCTGGATTCTCTAACAGACCTTGAGAGAATGTATATTCTCTCAAATTTTTTTTTTCTATTGTTATTATTCCCATGTTATTTTCTCCCTGCATTAGAAAGAAAAACACCAGCCCAACAATACATCACTCTCTTTTTCTTGCTAAATCAAATCTAAACAAAGCATCGAGTATTCTGACATTTGAAAACCATACGGCCCACATTCTTTTTAGGGAATTCAAGCATTTCTTATCCAAAGAAGAATAAATTTTAATGGTGTCCATTAACCAATCATAGTAAAACTCACATTGGTTTAGCTACAATAGTTATAGAAAAATTGTATCACCGTAAAACTCGCATTGGTTCAGCTACAACAGTTACAAAAAAATTGTAGCCCAATACAAGAAGGCTCAACCTTTGAGAGTAAAACTCAAATTGATTCCGCTGCAGCAACAGCAATAATAGAGAAACAAGGGAATAAAGAGGACACTATCAACGCAAATCAACTAACCCACAAAATAAACAACCATTAATCATGGCATCAACATATTCACCCCACTCCAATTCATTCAACCGCTTATAAATCAGAGCAATTCATATGACCCACCATAAAAAGGATCCAATCTCACAAGGACTAAAAGTTCAAATTAATTGGTATGCAATAAAAATTGGAAAGACAATAAATGAATATATCACTTCAAATTCATAAATGCACTCATGAATCACATCATTTCTATGAAACCCAACACAAAAAGATCCCATCTGACAAACAATTAACTCAATTTGAATCAGCTACGACAAAAATTAACAAAAAAATTAAGAAAAGAAAATAAAAACCCTAATTCATCCATCCCCAATGAATAGTCACAAGAACAACGCTTCAATAAGCCCCCAATAAATAATTACAAATCAAAAACCACAATACAAGAACAAAAAACTCAATAATCATCAAACTGGCATTTCATTTTTGTCAACTTTTTCAAGACGTGATGGGTAATCGTTACCATCCGAGTTAATGAACGGTGACAGTAGATGCTGCTCAAGTTCAACATTTAGAGCTGCAACTCCATGGAAACTCGACCCGGGGAAAGGTTATATAGAGCCGAGGCTCTAAATAATTAAATTAGAGCCTACCTCAATAATTTTACTAGAATAGGTTGTTTTGATGCCCAAATATCCTCAAATTGATCATCGTGATATCAAGAAAAATGGACATGAGAAAAAAATGGATTTTAAGTTTTGGAAATAGTGTATTTTGTTACGTATTTTTTTACCATCAATTTTCAAGACTTTCAAGTTTTCATAGATCCCCAAATATCCTCAAATTAATCATCTCGACATCAAGATGAATGGACATAAGAAAAAAATGGATTTCAAGTTTTGGAAATAGTGTATTTTGTAAAGCATTTTTTGACCGTCAATTTTCAAGATTTTCAAGTTTCATAGATCTGTCGATCTACGCTATCACAAAAGATTTCTAGTATTGAAACCTCATTTTTCGACA